CAAAGAACTCACAATCGATAGAATGACTTTGATAAAGAATAAAGTTGCTGGGCTTAACCTCTCTGATTTCTTTTCTTCTTCTTCTTTTTAAAAAATCTGTATTGTTGAAAGCATTACATATGTCCCCATTTTTCCCCCATTGAACTCTTCTAGCCTGCTCCTACCCCCTACCCAAGGCCTTCACCACCCTATTTTCTGTGTCCATGGATTATGCATACTCTGATTTCAATAATTATTATAAAGCTACAGTAACTGAGTAGTATGGCATTGATGTCATAACAGATAAATAAAGCAGTAGCAAAGGATGGGAAAATAGATCTACATACATGATTAATTGATTTTTAACAAAGGTGTCAGAGAAATTCAATAGGAAAGGATAGTCTTGTAACACTTGGTACTAGATTTGGGTATCTACACAGAAATAAATAAACTTAGATTCTTAATATACACATACAAACATTTAACTAATAATGGGTATTGACTTAATGAAAGAGCTATATCTATAAAATTTCTAGAAGAAAATAAAATTGGAAATCTTTATTTCCTTGGGATAAACAAAGATTTCTTGGATACAATGGTAAAAGCAAGGGAGAAAAGACTAATCAGACTTCTTCAAAAATAAAGGAAAAGTTTGCTTTTTGAGAGTCATTATAGACAATTAATAGCTAATCTCCTGGCTGCAAAATATTTGATATTAAAAATCTGAATTTTTTAAAAATAACAACAAAAACCTTATATGCAGGTACATATACAACAACTTTTATGCCCAGCTGGTGTTGCTCAGTGGTTGAGCATGGATCCATGAACCAAGATGTCACTGGTTCGATTCCCAGTAAGGGCACATGCCCCAGGTTGTGGGCTCAATCCCCAGTAGGGGTTGTGCAGGAGGCAGCTGATAGATGTTTCTCTCTCACTGATGTTTCTATCTCTCTATCCCTCTCCCTTCCTCTCCTCCGGCTCACTTCGGTTGCCTGGCTGCTGGCCGCCATCTTGGCTGCCAGTTAATTTGCATATCTTGCTGATTAGCATATGGGAAGGGTAGCGAACTTATGGTTAATTACCATGTTTCTCTATTATTAGACTAGAGGCCCGGTGCACAAAAATTTGTGCACTCGGGGAGGGGGGGGTCCCCCAGCCCAGCCTGTGCCCTCTCGCAGTCTGGGACACCTCGGGAGATAACGACCTGCTGGCTTAGGCCTGCTCCCGGGTGGCAGAGGGCAGGCCCAATCCCTAGGTGCAGCCCCTGGTTGGGCTCAGAGCATGGCCGATTGGGGAGTTGGGGCGCCGCCCCCTGTCATGCACAGAGCAGGGCGGATCGGGAGGTTGCGATGCCACCCTCAGTCACGCTCAGGGTAAGGCCGATTGGGGGGTTGGGGCACCGCCCCCATCACACTCAAGGCAGGGTCGATGGGGAGGTTGCGGCGCCACCCCCTGTCACGCACAGAGCAGGGCCCATCAGGGGGTTGGGGAGCTCCCCCCTGTCATGCACAGAGCAGGCCCTTCAGGGGGTTGTGGAACTCCCCCTTGTCATGCACAGAGCAGGGCCCATCAGGGGGTTGAGGAGCTCCTCCTGTCACTCACAGAATAGGGCCGATAGGGGAGTTAGGGCACCGCCCTCTATCACCCACAGAGCAGGGCCAATCAGGGGGTTGGGGCGCCGCCACTGTCACACTCAGGGCAGGGCCCGATGGGGAGGTTATGGCTCTACCCTGTCACACACAGAGCAGGGCCTGTGGGGGGGGTGGGGGAGTTGGGGCAACGCCACCCCTGTCACACACAGAGCAGGGCCAATCAGGGGGGTTGGGGACGCCCGCACCCCTTTCACACACAGAGTCCCAGGGGCGGATCAGGGGGGTTTGGGGCGCTGCCCCCCTGTCACACTGATCCCGGTGCCAGGAGGCCCTCGCGGCTCTGCTGATCCCAGTGCTGGGAGACATGTTACCCTTTTTACTATATAGGATAGAGGCCTGGGGGCTGGCTGGTTTGCCCTGAAAGGGTGTCCTTGGATCAGGGTGGGGGTCCCCCACTGGGGGTTGCCTGGCTACCCTGGATGAGGGGGATGATGGGCTGTTTTGCAGCTGGTCACACACCCCTTTCAGGGTGGGGGGTCCCCACTGGGGTGCCTGGGCCAGTCTTGGGTGAGGGGGCTGAGGGCTGCCTTTCGGACTGGGCGATTGACTGAAGCTCCCAACGCTCCTTTTTTTTCTTTCTTTTTTTTTTTTTTATTCTGGG